TGCTTTTTATCTTGTTGTATTTTCTCAAAATCTGGTAAACTATTTGTAGAGCAAAGCTCATTTTCTTTGAAAATAATCAAATTTGGAATTTCTGGATATAATAGTTTCCATGTAATTGATATACAATTTTTTACTACACAAACTCTATTTTTTTCAAATTTCAGCTTACCTATTTCTATTTCCGTTTTAAGTTCTACTTTTCTAGCTATAATAAAGCTATCTGTATGTATACGTTTTACTTAATCTCTTAGTGGCTTTACAATTTTTGATATTCTTTTTCATGCAGATGCTAATAAGAATAGTTTTATTCATGAATGTAAACTATAATTTTGTTCATTTCTTTGCTCACATAATACACCCCATAATGAAACTAATAATGCTTTACTAACTTTTCTTTCTATTCCACCTTCTTTTAAATTTTGTATAATATATTACCTATTCACTAAACATTTCTTTTCCTGTTATATGTATATTTCTTTCATAAATAAGCGTATTTGGTGATATATTTATTAATGTTACTTTTAATCTATTTTTTTGCGCATATTTTAAATTATAATGTATGTAAATTCTATGTGGATTATAACGTAAATATCTTGTATATTGAAGACTTTTCTTTGAAGAATTTCCTTCTATTGTTGCTTTATAAATTCCATATAGAAATTTACTCCATTTTTTTGTAAAAGATGAGTTTATAATATGAAACTTACTTGGTACAATTGGCCATGATGCATCTTTTTTTATCATTTCAAATATATACATTGAATTTACATCATATTGATTAGCTTCTCCTTCATATCTTTCTGCAAATATTAGAGCACCAGTTGTTGCTAAATCTATCCATGTATTTTCTTGTTTACTTATTTTTTCACTTTTTTGGAGTGCTAAAGTGGTTTCTTTAAAAAATTTTATAGTTGTTAATGTATAATTTCCAGATTTACACATATCAATTTTACTATTAGTTTTTTGAGCAATAGCTTCAGACTCATCATTAATTCTTTTGTATGCTTCTATAATTGTTTTTTCATTATTTGCTTTAATAAAATAATATTTGTTATATAATATGCAAAAATCTTCTTTAACTCTATACTATTTTCTTTTCCCATCATAAAACTCAAATCCATTTGCTATATTTTTATGAATTAAGATAGTTTTATCTTGGTAACTCATGCTATTTTGCT